ATTATGCATAATACAAGTTCAGGTGAACAGCACACTTCCGACTCCCTTGTCACGCACTGAGGAACGGTAGAAAAGGCAGCCACTGCTAGGCATGTACAATCTGTCTGCTTATGCCATTAAAGCAAAATAGGTCTTCATGGCGCAAGCCTCTCCTCTCACTTCCCCATTGCAGTGGTGGGAAAACTTTTCAGTTAAAGTGGATCTATGAATTATTCACATTCGGGATGGGATCTCCGGGCAAGAGAAAGTCTCCCCGGACTCAGGGCAGCAGCCAGTCCTGAGGGAACAGTGATCCTGGCTGCAGCTAGATCACTTCAGGCAGGGGAAGACTTTCCTCATACCTGCACACGCATGCGCACACACACACATTGTGATCCATAGAACAATGTGAGTAAAATAGTGTATCCTGCCTGCGTACATTGTGCCACTTGGGAGGAGTCAGGAAAGGGGAGAGCGCAACACCGAGTGCTTCTGCAGCCCAAGAGAGTGATTCATTTTCTTTAATTAAAACGTGGGTTTGTTTAGCAGAGGCTGTTGAGTCTGCGGGGTAGAGCCCACTAACAATCCCCATGGATAGTCCTGTTTGCCATTGTTGCTAGTGGGGGGAAACACACCTGCTGTTGTGTGTAGGGATGACTCGTGGTGAGTATCCCTTCCTCAGCTCAGCCACACTTCTGGCAGCCCTGCAAATGATCTGGCAGAGGAAGAGGAACTCAGAAGGAGAACCTGTGCAGGCCATGTAGGCAGCTTCCAAGAGCTGTGTGTGCTCAGCCTGGTCAGAGCAGGAAGAAACCATAGCAAAATGCCACACAGTCCAAGTTTACCACCGCATCCATACTGCAGACTTGAGGTTGGCAGAGGAATGCCTTGTCCCAGCTTCCATGCACTCCCACCTCCATTAATGGCTTTACCTTGCCTTCATTAAGCTTGGTATGAAATTATGACCTCTGTACCTGTAAAACATTGTGGTTTCACAGATTGGAATTCCCACTTTGTCTGTCTTGTCTCTTCATTGCCTGGTGCCTCCTTTGCATCATGGATAAACACCAAGTAAAGCCACAGAGCTTACAGAGTGTTGATTGATATACTTGCGCACAGTTCTGTTGACTGTTCATCCTTAGTTTATGATGTGCCTGTCTTTTGCAGTAATAAGCAGAGATGTATGTGAGGCAGCCAAAATCCTGGGTGTCTAAGTGCCTGGGCACTTTGAACTCTGAGGCTGAAATATATTTTCACTTCTGAATTGGGCTGGCCCACAGCCATTTGTTGCCAATGCCAGAGAATATAAGATACTGGATGGGTCTGTTGTTTGTTTCTACTTAATCCCATCATTTTTATATAGCAAAATGTGTGCTTCCACCGATTGCTTTGTAGAAAAGAACAGTAACTGAGGATAAAGAAAAGAAGATGTGAATGGGTTGTGAAACAGTTGGCTGTGTGGAAAATGAAAAGGAAAAATATGGAATGTTACGTTTAGCAAACAGGCAATTTTGTGAATGGATATAATTCTAAAAAAATAATTTTAAACTGGGAATGGAGAGGAAAATACAGTTCAGTTAACCAAGGCCAAAGCTGCTATGCTGGTGCTACCAAATAGAGCACCCTGTGGAAAATGCTCTAATACAAAAATCATGAGCTTTATTTATTTACAGTAGTTGTGTACTGCTCCACATCTAAGCGGTGCACAACACAAAGCTAAAATTAATAAGGGAGTAAAAACAATACATTTAAAACAAGATAACCTTAAAACCATGGGTGGCCAGCAAGAAAGGCTTCCTGGGACAAAAATGTCTTGAGCAGATACCAGAAATTCATTTGGAACAGTGTTGGTGCCTGCCTGGCCTTGACAGATAGAAAAATTCCATAGAAATGGGGCTGAATTCTTTTGTCCTGGAGGTCTGCAGTAGGGCCATAGGGCCATATGGGACCACAATGAGAGGGCACTCCAGTAGACCTCAGTGACTAGACAAGTTGGTTAGCCACAAGGCATTCTTGTTCCAAGCTTTTCAGGGATTTGTACATGAGCCCTGGAACCTTAAATTTGGCCCAGCACCAAATACTCTAGCGAAGGAGCTGCGTGCCGAAAAGCGGCAGCCCTGACAGCAGCCAAGTTACTCCTGCTTCTGGAGCATCCTTAAAGGAAGCCCCACACATCTTTACAAAAGCTGCCCCTCCAAGTGAGTCATTCACACGTTAAACACAAATATTACAGTGATGGCATGGGGGCATTTGCTGTACAATCGTATGCCTCTGACCTGATTTACCACACGTTGAATTAACTCATGTTTATTTACTGGGGCTTCCTTGACTGGATAGATGTTCTAGGACTTGACTGGTTCCGATTTGCCATGTTCTAACCCAGTGGACTTCATGAAACAAGTCAGGTTTATATAGTGCTGATGTAGGGCTTTGATGGGTGTTGAGGTGTATTCAGGCAATCATTTCCCCATGTGAGTACATGTTGTACTAGGGTATGTTCTCCACACGATTTGGAATCCTTGGACAATCAATGCTCCAAATTATACACAGTAAAGCAGACTTTTTCTGCCCTGTTGATGGTGGGGTGGAGGTGGCCAACAGGCCCTCCCCATGCAATTTTCTTTGCCATTAAGCAAATAGGGTTATTTCTCAAAGAGCACTTTGAGCAGTTGGGGATGCAGCAGGGTTTTTCCCTCCCCTTTTCTGCTGAATTCAGTGGAAAAGTTTTAATTTATATCACTTGCTTTGTTTGTGAAGAGTGACCCGAGCATCCAATATAGTGTAAGTCTGCTCCTTCCTTGATGTCTCCTTGGTACATCCTTATCTCAACTTTGTATTCTCAGCATTGGTGAGATATATCCATGTAGTTTTCCGCATATCTCTGGTATTTTACCAGCAGAGGGCCACTGCAGAGGTGCTTTTCAAGACAGTCATGGAGGTTTTCATCCTGCCAAAAAACTCCCCAGCCACCCTATTTCAAGCATAAGATTACATTTCAGAAATCAAAACAGTTTTAACCTAGCCTTCCTTACAGACCGGTGGAAAAAGGGTTTTCCCCGAAGCTTTTTTCATTCAGGGTGTACTTTATCATGCTCATCTCTCCTGTAGTTTATTACAACCCAGATATGTCTATCACTCCATGAAGAACTGGACCTAAGAGTAATGCTTACTGTCACCACCCAAGTAGTTTCATGCTTCACTCCCTCAAGACCTAAAAGGTAGGGCCGGTGCAGAGAGCAGCAGCAAGATGGATTCCTCATCAGTTTTGTGGCTCTTTCTAACAGTAATGTGGAAGGCTGGTTTTCCTTCACCTAATGGCATTGCAAAAGCTTCTAAGATTAAAATGTCCACCAATTTCCTCTTGTGAAATACCGAAGCTAAAATAGTAAAGTGTCTATAAAGTTACTTGGTTGTCACTTATTCCTCATCACCAGCCAACATACATTTAACAACCTTGAATAAAAATATGAATGTGGAGAAGGAATGTGTAGTATCGCTGCCTTTCACAGGATGTGATGAATTAGTTATATATTTTTTGTGTTGCTGCTCTTATTTATAGTAATGCACCTGCTTCCTCAAGTCAACACTCAGTCTGAGAGTGACAGCCATTTCAGATATGTGCTCGTATTAGCAGTTTCAGTCGGAGGAATGGGCCAGGCTGTAAATGGCTGGAATGTTTGTTTACAGGTTGTTTACATGATGAAACATTTTCAAAATCTTAAGGTTCAGTTTCTAGATTATCACATCAGTGGTCTGAAATAGAAGCTGTTCGGGGGCAAGTTAGAAATTAAAACTGTTGTAAAAAAATAACCGGTCAACAATGCAACAATAAAAGCAGCCAAAGTCCAGCAAAGCATGTCCACAATATTGGTAGCACCATTCAAATAGAAGTTAACAAGGAGCCCTTTTCTGGGTATGTTAGAAAAGTACCTCCTTTGCCCGCTGCCAAAAGTCAGGATGGAAAGGGTGAGATGCAAAGGAGTTACAAATGCTTGGCACCATTGTTGAAAGAGCTGTGTCTTGTGTAAGCCATGAATGGCAATGTCTGAGCAAGTTAATTTATATGAGAGAGTAGACTTCATTGACTTCTAATTGACATCAAGTGCAGTATAATTTTGTTTAAAGATTATTTGTGAATACCAAATAGCATATGGTACACATAGCCCTCACTCTACCCTGCTCACCATTGAGAACATGATGCATTTTTTAAAAGATGTGCTGCCATGACACATTGACATCTTAGGCTTTCCAGAAGTTTGTCTATCTTTCATCAGGCTCACATGACAAGCAACAAGGAAGAGGGGGAAGTTAGCATGCTGGTATGGCAGCCATATTTTTCTCAGATACATAGGTAAGCCCTGCTGCATTAGGGTGCGAAATTCAAGCCACAAATGCTTGCTTCTAGTATTCCAACGGCAGAATATTTGCATGTGCATTCAGATAAAAATTACCAAGTTACTATCACTTGTGCATTTTGTGTAATTTATACTGTGTTAACTCCAAGAGTACTGTTTAGTATCTTATACCATGATAATAACAGAACATTCCTTGAAAGTTAGTGTCATTCGTCAGTGGGACTATGTTTTGTGCTTTCTATCGGTGGTCCATTTACTGGGCGAATGAGGGCACAGTCCTATGCATGCTTAGACGGAAGCAAAGCCCTACAAATCCCAGCATGGCTGGATGGGGAACGCTAGGATTTGTAGGACTTAGCCAGAGCATGAATAGGATTGCACTGATTATGGCATGACTTAAGTGCATAGTAAATTGTTATGCCCATGTTGATTTCAGTGGGATTCAAGATGCTTCTGAATTACACACAAAATTTGGTAAACTGTTAGGAAGGCATCTTTGCCCAGCACAGTACTATGCTGAACCATGTCAGAGGCCACTACTCCTTTTGCCCACCTCCTTCAAAGCAGCTCTGCATGTTCATTATCAGCCTTAACTTCATGCACACCTTTTTATCTGAGTTAATGTTTCATTTTTTTTATTTTTTCCATTAATCTCTTCCTCTTCAGGTGCAATCTAGCTCCCGTGGTGGAGTTTGCTGCAGATGTGGGAACTAAATCAGATTTTATTACCATGAACCCATCAGTTGTACAAAGAGCATTTGGAGGCTTTCGGAATGAGAGTGACAGAGAAAAATTTGTGCATAGACTGTCCATGCTGAATGACAGTGTCCTTTGGATCCCTGCTTTCATGGTCAAAGGCGGAGAGAAGCATGTGGAGTGGGTTAATGCATTAATCCTTAAGAATAAATTGAAAGTGCGAACTGCCTATCCATCACTGAGACTTATTCATGCTGTCAGAGGGTAAGTGTCTGGAAAAGACTGGTCTGTCCTTGGCACAATAGAACTCATAACTAAAATTTCCACAAGACAGAAAGAATAGCTTTAAAAGGTTTATGATAATTCCATTCCAGTCATAATGGATTATACATTTGATAAAGCCACACTTGTTTGGGAGAAAATGTTTCTCATTCATTTAGCCCATTCAAAGGCAAACATTGGGAATGATTTGATTTGGTGACCTTTCCTTCCTCTCTTTATGAACAGAAGTATGTGAATCTTTGGAAGAATTATTTGAAATCCTTTAAGTTAGAGCAGAGCCAGCTAGCCCAGGATTAAATGTTCTGACTTCATTCAGATTTGAAAGTTTGGATTCTATCCTTTAACATGTATACTTAAATAATTTTTGAAAAAGATTCCTCTTAACAGGACACTACAGATACAGGATGTTAGTATCCATACTCCTTATCCCTGTAATAGGGAAAAGTTTGATTTGACAAGCTTAAGAGATAAAACATTGAATATTTTTGTGATTTTTTTCCACCTAATTGTTATTGTACCTCTTTTAAAGCCTCTCAGGCTCTCCTTAATAATTCAGAAAATATCAACAGTTGACTCAAACAGCTTATTCTAATAATGATGTGCCTTGATCATTAATGAGGTGTAAGATTATATCTGTCTCCTAGTGCCCTATTTTCTTTGTTTCATGCATCAAGAAGCACATTAGCCACTTTGTCACATTTGAACTCTTTGTCTCTTGTGGTATATTAGGTCCTCCTGGAGGCCCTCAGTTCCAGGATTCAGTCTTTCATTGCATTGCTGTGCTGTTTATTTTCTTTTCTGAGTTTTTGTTTTGTTTTGTTTTTGGTTATATTTAATGTTATACTATGGCTGTTGCTAGAAATGGCAGAATCAATCAAAGAGACCAATACTTTGAGCATTGCTTGCTTGTTAAATAGGGCATTCCTTGTGAATTGAAGATGCTTTATAAAACTAATGTGTTCTTATCCTTAAAACACTAGCAATATTTGTGTCATCTACAAGTTTAAGTTTCAGTAATTTGGTATTTCTTCACTGATGGAATATTTGAATTGCACCAGCCTGGGCATTGCAAGAACATGGATCTCCCTGTCCAGAAACAGCTGGGTTTAGTAAATTGGTCAAGGCTGGCCAAAAGCATGCTGTGGCACCAAGGCTACTTGTAAGAAAGTGGGATTCAGAAGTACCCTGAAACTGCATCATTTCTCTTTGGGAACTTCAACCCCATCCAGAGAAGGATGACCACCCCCTCCCCAGACCTGGAGACTGTTTCACAACAGTGCCTCTGCCTTAACAGGACTCATCCAACCCATTTCTGCATCCAGGTGCTAGTTCAGCATGGCCACAGCCTCATCTGATTCAGATAATAAGGAGACTAGAACTAAGTGTTACCTTATACTTCTTGATGACACATTATTCCAATTCCCTGGTGGTAGCCCTCCAAGTGGGCTTCGTAAAGATGTAAAAAGCACGGAAACCCTATAGGAGCCCATAACACAAGTGTCACTGCAAATGAAGCAGAGGCCAGTGGAAGTGGACTTCTGAGCAAGATCTTAGAGATGCTGGCAAAGTCACACTTAGGACAGTACTTCAGGAAGGTGGAGGTACCACGTGGGTGGGGAGAGACTATTCCTGGCATTTCTCTTTGTTGATTAAAATCCAAGCCAGAGAGAAAGTGTCAGCCTCACAGCAGATTAACTCTTTGCATGGTCAAGGGAAATAACTTTCCTAGTTAAGTGAGGTAGTTCCAGCCGAGGATCAAATCCATGGACTTTGGCATCTCATGAACTACCTGATAGTTTGAGCATGCTGGCCCTTCAGCAGCCAGTTCTGTTGACATAGTGGTGATTTTGATTGCTTCTTCCTACATTATCTTAGCTTGTCTTTGCTTTACTAGGACTACAACATTACCAACTAAATACTTCTCAAAAGTTATGTTTTGAATAAGAAAATACATAGACTATTATGAAAATGTGTTTCAAAAGTATTATTTTGAAAGCAGGGGTACTCAATAATGATAAAATAAATAGCCTTTCCTCTTTTCTCATAATAGCCTTGTTCCATGAAATGCTAAATAAAAATGTAATCTCCATAGCTGGACTGCACAACCCCTGCAGTCAACTTCAGCAATGGTTTGGAAGAACACAATGCACCAGTTGATGGTAGCTTTAGAGCAGGGATGCTGTGCAAATGGACCACAAATGGTGTTGGACTGCAGTAGCCATCATAGCTGATAACAAAGGAAGTGGGGAGTTGCATTCCAATAAAAATATTTAAAAATGGTTTAAATAAAATATAAAATAAATAAACATCTGGATGTGTTAACTGTTGATCAACAATGTCAAGCCCGCGGCTGCTTTCCATCTTTTCTCTTTATGCTAGCCTTGGGCGGAACAACCCTTCCAGTCTTTAGTTAGAGAACCGTCCTCTATCAAGTAGTACACACGGCCCTTTTACCAAGGAAAGACCATGTTCAAAGGCATGCTGCATGTCCGTGTTCTTTTATTATACCTTCTGCCTCAGCTTGAGTCAAAAGTGTGTATGAGAGGGAAAGAAACACACAAAGAGAGAGATTTATCCTGGATTGAGAGTCCCCCAGGGATGCCTGAGCAGATCCAGTATTGTGTTGTGTTCTATTGTGAATCAAGCCTAGTGTGAACTGAATCTGTGCAGTAGATAGCAACTTGCCGAAAGAGTAATTTTGCTTTTCTAACAAAGGGGATGATATTGTTGCTCGCTTTAGCTGCTACTGAGCACAGCAAGTTCCTGAAAAGAGGATCCTATATGTTGCTGTCTAATAAGCACATTATGACAAATTAAGGAGTGCTTCAGATCGAGTGGAGGCATAAGAACAAGTACAATAGGAAGTGGAAGACTGTTGTACAGAAAAAAAGTGTAAGGGTTTATGATGCACCCACTGAGACTCTGCCTTTTAAAGAGGAAGCAGGGAGGCTGTGAAAAAGCATCTAATGAGGTTCTTCAGTAGTATATAAGTTATCCTTGACTGCATGAAACTCCAAGGAGACAGATATGAAGGGTGCACTGTTGATGAAACAGAGATGGCAGTGATTTGTGAGAGACAAGAAGATGCCTCTGTAGGTCTCAGATCATCCAGTATTTTACTTAACTGCAACATAATTTATTTTGAATAGTATCATCGAAGTTGTAGGAAAATATAGGTTTTGTTCATTTCATTCGATCTGTGTTTCATGGATTATCAGACACATTTCCTTCCATCATCCACTTGTTAATGGCACTGGAATTTTTGTAGGACAATCTCATTCTACTTGCACTGATTCACATGGCATGTGTTCAAAAATGTTGATGTGCATTAACTAATCTGTATTAGCACTGATGTGCATGGACTAATGTGTACTTCTTAATGGGAATCTGCACAAATCCCCTGCCTCCAAAGTGGGAAAAAATAGCACACAAATTCACTCCAACCTGCATGTTTATGCTTTAGCCTATGGGGAGAAAGTGCAGTTTTGGTTTGTCCCCCCCACCCCAGCCCATAGTTGTGTGCAATTCCCAGCAGGTTTAAAAGAAAAAGTCTGCAAGTCTTCAGAATCTGCATAGTTCAGAAAAGACCAGTCCCTCGCAAAATATGTGGATTAGATTCATAGAAATCTGAATGCATTTGAATTTGCTGGGGATTCTTCTCACATCCGTACCACCAGCCACCATTGGATACCTCTGCATGCTGTGAGGGTGCAGGATGGATGCTTGTTCTGACAAGGTAGAGGAATTCATTGATAGAGCACATATTTTGTATGCCCAGCATCTTCTCATGCCCAATGCCATACCACTGCCATTAAAGAGACAGGGCTTCTAGAAAAGAGCTCTGTGTGAGAACTTACAGAACTGCCAGTGAGTGTAAACCAGCCTTCCCCCACCTGACCTCCAAAGTTTTGGGTTTCATCTCCCATTGGCCCCAGCCAGCAAAGTCAAAGGTTAGCCTTTGCCAACTGGTGATCTCCTGGGTGTTGTGATCCAAACTATCAGGAGGGTGCCAGGTTGGCACAGGCTGGGAAAGACAGACAGATCTTACCCCAAATCAGGTAGCTTTCCATGTTCCACCTTGATGATAGCCAGGGGGGGAATTAGTTCTCTTTGGACATTCTCGTCATGGTCTCTGTGCATCACACATCTATGGGTGCTGCGCCTGAGCAGTGCCTGCCGTCGGGAAGATTTCATAGCCATAAGGTTTTCGGTGGGAACTCTGCCGCCGCTCTCCCCAGTATAAATGGGCGGAGTCCCCTCTCTCTCACCAGTCTGCTTTCAACCACCGTTTGCAGTGCCTTGGGCTTGTTTGCTTACTCTCGTTTTTTCTTACAAAATTTCCTTACTCTACTCGTCTTTACAACTTATTTACAACTTTATTCCCTGATACTCATTCCCTGGTTTCCAATCACAAAGAACCTTGTTCTCACTCCCTTCCCCCTCCCCCTCCCCCTCCCTCTCACTACTACCACTCCCCAAAAATACAAAACAATAAACCCTTCTATTGTCATTCTTACTTCCCTTTCTCCTATCTTTCTCGATGGCGCAGCGACAGCGTTTCGCAAGTGTGTCCAGTGTGGGGCGAACATGTTGCCTACCAACCCGCACTCCCTCTGCCTACTTTGTCTTGGTGTGGGCCATCGCATGGGCAGCTTTCCATGTTCCAGCTTGATGATAGCCAGGAGGGATATTAGTTCTCTGTCGTCATTTTTAGCTGTTGCAGGAGTTCTGGGCTCTGGGTGGCAAAGGCCCAGCACACAGAGCACTCTATAACCTTTTAGCCCCAAGGCTGTGCTAACATCTAAGATGTATCATAGTTGGATTTTATCCAGAAGATAGGAGAGATCTCCTCTGAATATTTGCAAACAGTTTCATTGTGCTCCATTTTGTCTACTCTACAGTACCTTGTGTTTTAAATTAAAAAGGGAGCATTTGCATAAAGCATGCATTTACAGAGGGTTTTTTAATGGACTTTAATGATG